TCCAACATGAAGGCAGTAGATGATCTAATATAATATGGGGTTAGGGGAATGAGAAAGCAGGGAGAGAGAAGGAGGGATGGGGAGGGAGATCACAGTGTATGGCACACCTCTTGGGGAAGGATAATTATAAGTGGGACTTTACCTAACAAATACAATCAGTATAACTTATTTCTCTGTACCCTCAATGAATCCCAAATAATAAAAGGAAGGAAGGAAGGAAGAGAGGAAGGGAGGGAGGGAGGGAGGGAGGGAGGGAGGAAGGGAGGAAGGAAGGAAGAAAAAAGGAAAGAAGGAAGGAAAAAGAAAGAAAGAAAGAAAGAAAGAAAGAAAGAAAGAAAGAAAGAAAGAAAGAAAAGGGTCTGATAGAGGGAGGGTTAATGGTGGGAGCACACCTATGGAGCATATTGCAAGGGTACAAGTCAAATCTATCAAGTATAGAACATAAATGTCTTAACACTGTAATTAAGTAAATGAGGTGAAAGCTATATTAATTAGTAGGATGTAAGCACTCCGATTTGTACAAATAATCTGAATCCCACAAAGGCATACATAAATGTATTCATGATCTATGTATATATGACTTAATAAATAAAAGAAAAGAATATGGGTTAGGAACTAAAAACCTAAAATTAGCCAGCTAATTTCAGCATGTTTGAAAATTAAGCAAACACCTTCCAAACAACTCATTGGTAAAATAATAACAGAAGCTAGAAAATACTTCAAGATTAAGGATAGTGACCATCTAGCAATTCTTGGAATAGGCAGGCAAAATTAACTTGCATTTATTAGTATATAAGAAACACAAAAAACCCAATACATCAATTGTCTATTTAACAAGTCATTTCATTTATTAGAATGTCCTAAGTTTCATCAATTTTGTTGCAAATTATAGGAAAACATTCCCCTAACAACATAAAAGTATTTGTCAATTAATCTAATAATAGGCAGTAAGTCCTCCAGGTTTTTGCATGTTGTTATAAATGACAAATTTTCTATTTTTAAGCCTGAATATAATATATGTATGTGTGTATGTATGTGTATAAAATGGGTTCAAAATTTCAGTTATGCACAATGCATAAATTCTGGAAATATAAGGTACAACATTGTGACTATAGTGAATAGTACCATATTGCAGTTATATAGTGTTATACAATGTATGATCTACTTATATATGAATTACATATAGTGTATATATAGGAGATGTGTATATATATATATATATATACACACACACATAATATGCTATATTGGACATGTATATGTATGTGTATATATATATTGCAAACATCATATTGTCTTTATCCATTCATCTATTAACAGGTTCATAGACATTTACAATGTTTCCATTTCTTGATCATTATAAATAATGCTGTGGTATATACACAGTGCAGATATCTCTTCAAGACCCTGATTTCAGGTCTTTTGGAAGTATACCAAGAATTGAAATTACTGTATCATAGGGTAGCTCTGTTTTTCATTTTGATTTTCTAAGAACCTGTATACTGTTTCTCTAATGGCTTTGCTAATTTACATCACTAATAGAGTCTAAATGTTCCCTCTTCTCCACAATGAAAGTCAAAAACCACACGATCTCACTTATATGTGGAACACAAAAAGTTCAACTCATGGCAGTAGAAAATAGATTGGTCAGTACCAGGATATGAGGCTGGGAGTGGGGTACAGTTGGGAGATTTTGATCAAAGAGTACAAAACTTCAGATACAGCAATCAATTCAAGAGATCTATTGTGCAACATGCTGACTGTAGTTAAAACTATGAACTACAGTCATTGAAAATTGCTTAAAGAATAGATTTTCAGTGTTCTTATCACAAAAACATGCTAAGCTTGTGAGGTAATGCATATGTTTAAATGGCTTGATTTAGCTATTTCTCAAAGTTCTTTGACTTTGGTATAATAACAGTTCTATCATCAATGTGTATCCCATGACACAAAAACAAACTCTACATGATATATCTGCATAATTTTTTAATTCTCAATTTAAAACTTAAAATTCAAAAAATAAAAAGATGAAAAAGTAAGATAGTATTTATCAAATGAAATGATAAAAATATAAAAATGTGAAATCACAAACTGAGAAAATACTCTACAATGCATATAAATAATAACAATGTAGTACACAGGATTCCTAAAAGGCTCCAAAAAGTTAATAATGAAAACAACCAATAAAATATTGGTAAAAGACATAAATACACATTTCATTGAGCACTGGAAATCAAGGGGATCCAACAAACATGAGAATATGCTCAACTTCAATAGCCATAAAGAATGCAAATTAAAACTGCAATAAACTCTCAGTATTAAACAAATTACATTAGCATAAATATCAAACATCTCACAATATCAGGTATTGATAAAGATGCACAGCAATGGAACTGTTATGCCCTGCGGTTGGTGTGTTAATTATAACATAGCATTTGGGAAAACTGAAATCATCTGTAAAAGTGAACATACAAACACTCTACTCAACACAAAAGAATTGTTTTCTGGATGCTCACAGCGGGACTATGTGCCCAAAAAAGAAAAACTGTAAATCATCCACAAAATCATCTCTAACTGAATAGTCACATAACCTATGATACAGTCACACTTGGAATAATACAAAACAGGGGAAATGGTGAGACCAAAGCAACATGCAGCATCATTATCAAATTTTAGAAAGTTGACATCATGGAAAAAAATGAAAATTCAGAAAACTATGTATTATACAATATAATTCCAATAAAAGTAAGGAATAAGAAAATATGAATGATAAATTTTAAGAATAAGTTTAGCTTTGGTAATATCTCTGGATAAACACAGAGAAACAGCTTCAGGGAGGTACAAACAAGTAGTTACAGTTGACAACATTATAGGTAAAGGTTACAACATTTATAAATAAATTACATACATGATTTGGTAGGTAATAAAAGTAATAAAATTTTAAAATAGTAAAGGTTCTGTAGGGTGGAGCAAAATGGCAGAGTATAGACAGTTTGTTTGCAGCCATATGTGGTAAGGTTAAGGAAAAAGAATTCCAACCACCTCTGCCTGGGGATCCCTGACTAGAAATGTCACTTTGGAGGCATAAAGAAGCAGCAGGAGACTCTAAGAACCCAAGGAGTGGTCAAGAGCAGTGGAGAACACTTAGACAACTAAAAATAGACCTGCCATTTGACCCTGCAATTCCTTTATTAGGTATATACCCAGATTACCAAAAATTGCATTACAACAAAGATATTTGTATCAGAATGTTTATTGCAGCCCAATTCATAATTGCCAGGTCATGGAAAAGCCCACGTGCCCATTGATCCACGAATGGATCAACAAACTGTGGTATATGTACACCATGGAATACTATGCAGCCATAAAGAAAGATGGAAACTTTATGTCTTTCATGTTCACATGGATGGAGCTGGAAAGTGTTCTTCTTAGCAAAGTATCACAAGAATGGAAGAAAAAGTACCCAATGTACACACCCCTATTATGAAATTAATTTATAGCTTTCATATGAAAGCTATAACCTAATAACAGCCTAAGAATACGAGGAGCAGGGAGGGTGAGGGAAAGGGAGAATGGGTGGAGGGAGGAGGATTGGAGGGATTGGAGGGTACGAGTGAATCTTTCTAAGAGTAGAATATGAACGTTTTAACACAATAACTAAGAAAATGACATGAAGGCTATGTTAACCAGTTTGATGGAAATGTTTCAAACTGTATGTGAAAACACCACACTGTATCCCAGAAGTGCATTAATTGTACATAGTTACAATTCAATTAAAAAAAAAAAAAAAGAGCAGTGGAGAATTGGTACAGAGGGACAGAGGGAAGTGCTTGCGTGCCCACAGAGGCCAGGCTGTTACAGCAGTTTTCAGACAAAGAGGACCTCACTCACGGGCTTTTTTTTTTCTTCAACTTTTTCCCCTAGATTTCCCTTTTTCTATCTTTCTGCCATATAGTTACTTTTTCACTGTTCTTTTGATCAATAGTAAACGCTCCATTTTCACTAGGTTTTCTGCTCCTGTTCATTTTTTCCCAATTTTATCCCTTAAGGTTTACTGTTTGTTTGTTTTGTTTTATAGTATTTTTATCTTTCAATTGTTGTTATGCTCAAGGAAGTTAACGATTTCCTTTTTTTATCCCTTCCTTGATCCAACTATAATTCAGCATAAGCTTTTTTACTTTCCATGCCTTTGTGTGGGGACAAAAGTTTTGTTGGAGTTGAATTCCACCTTTATTGCCTTGTGATGTGAGAAGATACAAGGTATAGGTAAGACGTTGGGTAGGACACTTGAGATCAGGAGCTCTTTGCCAGCCTGAGCAGACACAAGCCCCCACTTCCAAAAATTAGAGAAGAAAAACAAAAATACTATAAATCAAAACAAAATAAACAAAAATCTTAAAGGATAAAATTGGTGGGGAAAGGATAACGAGGGCAGCAAAACTAGCAAAAATTAAGCCCTTATTATTAAAGAAGAAAAAAATGAAAAATTATAATTACACAAGAGAAAAGAAGAAAATCTAGGGGGAAAACTTGAAAAAATTGTGTTTAAAAACAGAAAAAGATACCTATCCATAAATATATACACACACACACATATATATGTATATATCTTGCAGTATATTGGACAAATTGTCTTTCAGGAATGACAAGGATAGTGAATTTAAAAGAAAAAAACTGTTTTCTGCCTTGAAAGGAATAAAACACTTTTTTCTCAGCCCCATTTCAAAATACACTAAGAAAAATGCAGTTACAAGATGTGTTTAATGTTTATTTGCAATGGCATACCTGTGCCTGTAGAAATTCTCTATTAGATTGATTCTAATCTCAAAAGATAAGTGATTCTGCTATTATGATGACTTTGTATAAATAAAGAGAAGTATCCCCATAGAAGTCACTGAATTGACTAAATTATTCATCATTAGAATTTACTGCCTTTGTATTTCCTTAGAATGGGTAATAAACATGGTCAATGAGAAGGACATTCTTATTCTATCTATAGCTCACTTTTTACAACAGAGTTTTTCCATAGAATTTTTTATCTCTGAATTTCTCAAGCTATAGATTAAAGGATTCAACATGGGAGTGACAAAAGCATAAAATACAGTGATGTATTTATCAATAGGGAAGGTGGACACAGGTCTAACGTATATGAAAATACAGGGAACAAAGAAGGAGACGACCACAGTGATGTGGGAGATGCAGGTAGACAGGGCCTTACGTTTCCCTTCCTGACTGTGAGTTTTAAGGGATCTTAGGATGACTCCATAGGAGATGAGGAGAAGGATAAAGATGATGATACAGATTGCTCCACCATTGGCAACCACAGTGAGACCAATAAAGTAGGTGTCTGTACATGCAAGTTCCAATAATGGGTACACGTCACAAAGAAAGTGATCCATGACATTGGGGCCACAGAAGGGAAGACTATACACAAAAACAATTTGAACCACGGAGTGCACAAAACCTGAAGCCCAGGCCACCACCAACAGAAGGATGCAAACTCGCCTATTCATGATGGTCAAGTAGTGCAGAGGCTTACAGATGGCCACATAGCGATCATAGGCCATCACCACCAGAAGGAAGACCTCAGTTCCACCAAATAAGTGTTCTATAAAGAGCTGGACCATGCAAGCTAGGAAGGAAATCGTCTTTTTATCACAGAGTAAGTTTACAATCAATTTGGGTAAAGTGGCAGTGGAATAAATAGCATCAATAAGTGACAGAGAGGCCAAGAAGAAGTACATTGGGGAGCCTAAGGAGGGGCTCTTGATGATAGTGACCATGATGAGCAGGTTCCCCACCACTGTCACAACATACATGAGTAAAAATATTACAAATAATGCTTTCTGCCCATCAGGATCTTGAGTGAGTCCCAGGAGGACAAATTCGGTGACATTGTTGCTCTCTCTCATTTACTCTGCTGTAAGGTTTGTGTCAGAGCTGAGAGCTCAAGAGAACAGAACCTGGAATGAAATTGTGAACAGGGCTGTGAACACATCCACTGTGTCTTGGAGCACATCTTCTTCATATCTTCAACAGTGGTTTACCAACAATATACATTTTATATGTACAACTGAGTCTTCCTCTAAAATTCACAATAGATCTATCTCCACAAGTCCATTTCTCCCCAGATGATTTTCTTTGGGGCTTGTATGTGAAAGGTTCCATCCCTAAGTCTTCATGGATGTTCTATAGAGAACAATAGTTAAAGAACCCAATAATCATACATATAGTGTATAAATCTTTTTATAATATGTCACTTCTTTAGTATATTTACAAATAACAGGTACAATGCACTGGTAAATGGCACACTTCTTAGATGACAGAACCAACTACAACTCAGATTTTACCTCACAAACACAAACAATGTAACCTAATCATATGTACCCCCATGTTCATTTGAAATTTCATGAAAGAAATCGAAATGTTTTTTAAAGGTCTTTAACAACAACACGAATGTACCAAATGCCTAGGGAAAAAAATATAATGAAATATGTGCAAGTCTCCTATGTAGAAAGCTGCTTAAACTATAAAATATAAAGGTAAGTTAAAAGAGGCTTAAATAAATGGAGATATAAATCACAGTCAAATAATGAGTAAATAAACTAAAATATTTTACTCTGTGGCACAGGCATCAGGGAAAGTGTTCCTGCACTCCAGATGCTTACTCTCTGGTAATAAAAATAATCTATAAAAAAATAAATTGGGATAGAGTCAATCCTTTGAATTTGGAGCAGTTGTGATATCTTTACAATATGATCTCTGTAGCAACAAATATAACGTCTTCTGAAATTTCTCACTCAATTCTATGGAAATTCACTGTCATCCCTTCGTTCTCTCATGTCCCAGAGGATATCCTGATTTTGTGAATCTCTCATTAAATACCAAGACTAGATTTTGAACTCTATTAAATAACTACACAATTATTTAACTTTTTTTTTTTTGCTTGTTTGTAATTCTCTCCACTTCATCTTTACTTATACTATTTTTTTTTTTTTTTTAGAGACAGAGTCTCACATTGTCACTCCCGGTAGAGTGCTGTGGTATCATATCTCACAGAAACCTCAAACCATTGGGTTCAAATGATTCTCTCACCTTAGCCTCCTGAGAAGCTGGGACTACAGGCATCCACCACAGCATCCAGCTATTTTTTTTTCTTTTAAAGGCAGGGTGTATCTTGCTCAGGATGGTCTAAACTTATAAGCTCAAGCAATACACTCACCATGGCTTCCCAAAGTTCTAGAACTACAGGTGTGAGCTACCACACCCAGGATATACTAAAATTCTTAATGGTTTTTTGTTTGGTTTTTCTTTTTTTTTTTTTTTTTGGAGTTTTTGGCCAGGGCTGGGTTTGAACCCACCACCTCTGGCATATGGGGCCAGCGCCCTACTCCTTTGAGCCACAGGCGCCGCCCTTCTTAATAGATTTTTACATCATCGTGCTTCTTGGCAAGTGATTCTGAACTGAATTAAAGTAACTTAACATCAATAATCACACTAGCAACTAATACTATTTTTCAAAACAGTTGGAGTTACCTAGGTAGTAAGAAAGGATTAGACACTGAAAAGACAAAAAATGACATGAAGGCTATGTTAACCAGTTGGATGAAAGTATTTCAAATTGTATATAGAAACAGCACACTGTACCCCATGATAGTATTAATGCACACAGCTATGATTTAATTTTTTAAAAAAAGGAACAGTGAAACATGGTTTTATTTACTGTTTATGTACTATGAATGCTCAAAAATAGAATTTCAATGTCCAAATTCTAAAAGGAGGAATCCTCGAGCAAAAATTCCAAGTTCAATGTAACAGCTATTTTCTGAGTTTAAGTACAAGACTGTCTCTGTTATATCATTGGAAAGTAATGAGACTGAACTAGAAAATCTCAGAATCCTTTCCAGGTGAACTATCTATGTCACTATTATTACAGCCCAAATTTATTCATTCTCTTGATGTTTCTTTTCATTTCTGATGGGGTTTTTGTCTGTTTTTGGTTTTTTTTTTTGTTGTTGTTGTTGTTGTTGCTTGAGACAGAGTCTCACTTTGTAATGCTCAACAGAGTGCCAAGGCATTGTAGCTCACAGCAACCACAAACTCTCAGGCTCAAGTCATTCTCTTGCCTCAGCCTCCCAAGTAGCTGGGTCTACAGGTACCCACCACAATGCCCGGGTATTTTTTTAGAGATGAGGTCTCACTCTGGCTCAGACTGGTCTTGAACCTGTGAGCTCAGGCAATCCAACCCCTGAACTTCCCAAGTATTGGGAATACAGGCGTGAGCCACCGCACCCAGCCCTCATTTCTCATATTTTATACTGAAAAAATGATACCCCATACTTACAAATCAGTAGCATTTATATATGCCAATGATAACCAAGCTGAAAATATAGTCAGGGACTCTATTCATTTTACAGTAGTGCCAAAGAAGATGAAATGCCTAGGAATTTAACAAAGGATGTGAAAGAGCTCTATAATGAGAATTATGAAACCCTAAGAAAAGGAATAGGTGAAGAGGTTAACAAATGGAAAAACATACCATGCTCATGGCTGGGAAGAACCAACATTGTTAAAAATGGTCATAGTACCCAAAGCAATGTACAGATTTAATGCAATCCCTATCAAGCATCAATGTCATACTTCAAAGAAATTGAAAAAATAGTATTCATTTTATATGGAATCAGAAAAGACCTCAAATAGCCAATGCATTACTTAAAAATAAAAACAAAAACAAATCAAGAGACATCATGTTACCAGGCTTCAGGTTATACTATAAATCTATAGAGATCAAAACAGCATGATATTGACACAAAAATAGAGATGTAGATATACGGAACAGAATAAAGAACCTAGAGATGAACCCAAGCACATATCATTATTTGATCTTTGATAAGCCTAACAAATACACTCACTGAGGAATAGATTCCCTATTTAACAAATGGTGCTGGAAGAACTGGATAGTGACCAGTAGAAGACTGAAAGTGGACCCCTACCTTTCACCATGAACAAAAATTGATTCTCAGTGGATAAAAGATTTAAAATTAAGACATGAAACTATTAAAATACTAGAAGACAGTGCAAAGAAAAATCTTGAAGATATTAGCTTGGGAAAATATTTTATGAAGAGGAACCCCCTGGCATTTGAAGCAACACCAAAAATATAGAACTGAGATCTGATCAAACTAAAAAGCTTCTGCACAGCTAAGGGCACTGCAAGTAAAGAAAACAGACAGCCTTCAGAATGGGAGAAAAAAATTGCAGGTTATGATTTGGACAAAGGCATGATAACTGGAATCTATAGAGAATTCAAATTTATCAATAAGAAAAAAAAACCCATTTCTTTGTGTGCAATAGACTTAAAAAGAAACATCTCTGAAGATGATAGGCCAACAAACACATGAAAAAATGCTCATCAGGCTTGGCACTCGTAGCTCCATGGCTAGGGTACCGGCTGCATACACCGAGGTAGGTGGATTTGAAACCAGCCCAGGCCTGCTAAACAACAATGACAACTGCAGCAAAAAAAATAGCTAGGGCTCAGCACCTGTGGCTCAAGTGGCTAAGGCACCAGCCACGTACACCCAAGGTGGCAGGTTCGAATCCAGCCCAGGCCTGCCAAACAACAATGATGGCTGCAACCAAAAAATAGCTGGGCATTGCGGCAGGCACCTGTAGTCCCAGCTACTCAGGAGGCTGAGGCAGGAGACTCGCTTGAGCCCAGGAGTTAGAGTTTGCTGTGAGCTGTGATGCCCCAGCACTCTACCCAGGGGGATAGCTTGAGACTATGTCTCAAAAAAAAAAAAAATAGCTAGACATTGTGGTGGGCATCTATAGTCCCAGCTACTTGGGAGGCTGAGGCAAGAGAATCACTTAAGCCCAAGAGTTAGAGGTTGCTGTAAATTGTGCCACCACGGCACTCTACTGAGGACAACACAGTGACTCTGTCTCAAAAAGAAAAGAAAAAACAAAAAAAAAAAACTGCTCATCATCTTTAATCACCTGAGAAGTACAAATCAAAACCACTTTGAGATACACCTAACTCTAGTAAGATTAGCTCACATCACAAAATCCCCAAACTGCAGATGTTGGTGTGGATATGGAGAGAAGGGAATACTTCTACACTGCTGGTAGGACTGCAAACTAATACAGCCTTTTTGGAAAGAAGTATGGAGAATTCTCAAGGTTCTAAAAGTTGACCTACCATTTGATCTTGGAATTCCATCACTAGATACCTACCCAGATGAACGAAAATTATTTTATAACAAAGACATTTGCACCAGAATGTTTATTGCAGCCCAATTCTTAATTGCAAAGTCATGGAAGCAGCTCAAATGGCCATCAACCCATGGATGGATTAACAAATTGTGGTATATGTATACCATGGAATACTATTCAGCCACCAAAAAAAAATGGAGACTTTACATCTTTTATGTTTACCTGGATAGAGCTGGAACATATTCTTCTTAGTAAAGTATCTCAAGAATGGGAAAAAAATGTATCTACTGTATTCAATACTGTTATGAAATCAGTATATAATCACCTACACATCCATAGGGATGATAAAACACAAATATAGTCCAGAAAGAAGGAGGAAGGTAGGAAGAAGGGGGAATGGAAGGACATTATTTGGCAGGATCTCACCTAATGTGCATAATGCAAGGATACATTTCAAAACAACTAAGAGTATATTATAAATGTTTTACCACAAAAAATAAGTAAGTGAGGTGATGGTTATGTTAATCAGTTTGATTTAAGAATTCCACATTGTATATCAAATCATCACATTGTACCCCTAAATGTATACAGTTATGATTTAATAAAAATTAAGTTAAAAATAAATTAACCAGCCTACTAAAAAAAAAAAAAACCCAGGTTATCATTGTTACTTTAAAAATACAAGCCAATAGCAAAT